AGTCGGTGCAGGGAGCAGCCCGGGTTAAATCCCATCATCTCCTGCACATTTACTGAGCACTCTCAGGATTCAAGTCGAGATTTACACCCTAAACCCCAAACCATCACAACCAGCCCTAAAAACGCACAGAGCAGCAGCTGCCAGACCCTCTGCTCTGGGATTCCAGCCCCTTACCTACGGCACAACCAGGACCTCGGGAGCTGAGCCCATCCCAATCCCTGGCTGTCCATAAAAACCACAGCCGATGTTCCCCGGCTCCTCGCGCTCCCAGGTTGAGCTTCTCGAGCTGAAGTCCCTCTGAAATCCCAGTGCAAACATCCCCGGGATGAGAGGGAGGGGGAGATCGCTCTGCAGGGCTCAGGGAAGAGTTAAAACTCCCAAGGATCCCTTGGCTCCCGCGGGAGCTCCCGGAGCAGGCGGTGGTGGAGGAGCTCCCGGCTCCGCATAATTCCTCCCCTGTTCCCAGGGCTGCCGCGCTTCCCTGGCACAATGTCCGGGATTGTGCGGGGTTAAACCGGCCCACACAACGCCTGCATTCACACCCAGCGAGGCGAGCAGTGCCTCCTCCATGGAAATCACATCCGTGGAAATGCCCTCCTCTCCACGAAAATCCATCCCCGCGCGTTGGGGGCTGGTGATCCAGAGGCTTCCCCGGCCGGCAGAACCGCGGCCTAAAACCCTTCCTTAAAGGTGACAAAGCTCTTCCTCGGAGCGGTTTCGTTTTTTTCCAGCCCTCCTGTCATCCTTCCGAGCTGCTCGTTCCCCCGGGGCAGCGCCGGGGGAAGGGCAGGTCAGAGCAGACCCTCCCAGCTCCAGAGCCAGCGGTCCTTAATCCCCGCCGGGAGCTGAGCGCCCGCTAAATAATCCCCGGCGTTCCACAGAGGCAGCCAGAGGCCGTGGAAGATCCTTCCCGACTCGTCCTGACCCTGCTCCACCTCCCCGGGGACACAGAGGGTTCCATCAGCCCCCGAGCCGGGCGGGAAGGGGCAGCTCCAGGCTTTGGGGTCTCCCCGATTCCAAGCCGTTTTCCTGATAAAACCCACGACCGCAGTTCGTATTGAGGCTGTTAGGTAACATTTGGGGCTCGGCAGGAGGAAGCAGGACGATCTCTCCGGAATTTAACGCATCCAGTCCTTCACTTCCACGTTTTTTTGGCACCGGCAAGGAGAAGCCTCGTTGTTCCCGTGGCCCCGGGGGCTTCTCTCCGACACTTCTTGGTGCAGAGCCCTCTGAGAACTGGCGGTGCTCATTCCAGTTGGGATTTCTGGAGGTGTTAATGGCCGTCCCGAGATTATCCAGAGCTGCAGGGGGGATTTGAAACATTTTTTGCTCCGGGGGTTGGTCTAAAACGCGGCCTGGGGGGCGCACAGAGGGACGAACCGTCACACACTCTGACACACCTGGTGTTCCCATACGTGGGAAACTCCTCCTCCGGAGCTGCCCTGCTTCGTTCCCGCTGAAATCATGGGAAAATGACTAAAAGCTCTGCAAGGAGTGAGCAAAACGTGCCCCGGTGGGCCCTGGGTCGCTGAGGGGGCTGCTCTGGGTGCTGGGTCACACAGCCCTGTGAGCCCCCCAACAGCAGCAACATCTCACCCAGCGGGCACCACAGCTGCTCCCAGCTCTCCAGGCTCACATCCAGGCATTCCCTAACTGCTCCTCACCCCACGGGGCACAAAGTTGGAGCCTGGGCACACCACCTGCACCCCGAGCGCCCAGTGACCCCCCCGGGATGGGGCGGTTCAGCACCAGGCACAGAAACCCGTTCTCCACTCTCCCAAAACTCCCCCGTTTTTTGCTGAGCTGCCTCTTGGCTGCTCAAACCCCCTCTGTGGCCACTCAGGCTCCTCCCTGAGCCGTGGCAGTTCGAGGCTGGGTGAAAGGAGAGCCATCGTGTCCTCAATACCTACATTTTCTGCTTTATTAACGGAGCAAGTCATGCATAATGGCAAGGGGAGGGAAAGTGCATCCCTGCGGCCCTCGAGTTGTTCTGGGTTGTTGTGCCAAGAAAACAAGCTGGGCAAGGCAGAGCTGAGGAATTGTGTGTCTCCCCAGGGATTTGAGCAGCTCTGCTCTCCCCCCATCCCATGGGGAAGCACGGAGAGGGGGATGGTGGGCCCTGCTCTGGCTCCATCCCCGACGTGCCCCTCAGGATTCCCAGGTTCCCAGTGCTTTGCCTCAGTTTCCCCTCAGGATCAGCTCTGTGAGTGGCTTTTTCCTCCCAGCTCTCCTGTTCAGCTGGAACAGAGGGAGGTGAACGATGGGACGTGCAGCCAGACACCATGGCACATTAATTTGGATTTTTATGTGGCCTCAGAATAAGCAGACGTGGCTCATTTTGCATTTCAAGGCAGCAGAGCAGCTCCCAAGTGCAGCTGTGCTGCCGTGCCAGGCACTGTGCCAGCACAGTGGCCCTTCCCTACACCTCCAGCAGTGGCACATCCTCCGAGAATCCACGGCAGGCAGGGCTGGAAAGCAGCCTGGGCAGGGCCCATCACCAGGGAGATCCGTGCCAGGGCTCAGGTCCTCCCGTGGGATGAGACAGAAGCTCCACGGGAGGAACTGGAGAGAACTTGGAGCAGCAGAGCCTGAAGGATGGGTTTGAGAGATCCATCGAGCTCCCCGTGCAGGGCTGGGAAGAGGGGCAGGGCACAGGGAGGATGGATGGATGGACATGGAAATGTGCTCCTTCCCCTTGCCAGCTGGAGAAACCCCTTCCTTTCAGAGGGTCCGCTCACAGAAGGGACCCAAAACCAGGCAATAAATGGGTTAACCAGGCAGAAATCTCCCTGACTGCACCACGGCAGAAGCAGAGCCGTGAGGAGCTTGGAATATTCAAAAAAATAATAATAAAAAAAAAAAGGACAGAAAACTCGCTCAAATCCCACAAACCCATTTGCCCAAAGCAACGAGGACTGAGCCCCCCCAGGGTCCAGGGGGCCACCTTCAAATCCTGCCTTCCCGAAATGGCCCTGGGGCTCTGCTCAGGCTCCTCGGGGGCTTCAGGCGACCCCCTGGGCTCGGCGTTTTTTTGGCAGAGCGCTGCCCACACTCTCCAGCCGACCTTCGGGAGTCAATGAAGACACGGCGAATTCCCATGGAAGCGCTTTCCGACACAGAGCAGCCACACATGACTGACTTCACAACACTCCCCCTCCCCCTCCCCACCGGCTCTCACCAGCCCTTCCCTCCTCGTCCTTAACCTAAATAAGGCGTCACATCGCCCAGGATGCAAAGGCAGCACCGCCGAACCGAAGTCTTACTACAAATCCGCGTGTGACATCGATCCGGGGGCTCAGTCCGCGGCCAGAGCTCCCTTTCCTCCAGGCCCTCCCACCACGCTCTTCCCGAACAAGCCCTCTCCTATTCGCCACGGCGCTGCTTTTCCAGAGCATCCAACAATATGTGCCTGTGTGTTGGGAAAGGCAGCGAGCCCTGGCACTGCCAGCGCCGAGACCCTCGCGGCAGTCATTCACCAGCGAGCAGAGCCCCTCAGACAGCTTCAAGCGCGTCGAAATTTCGCAAAATTAAGGGAAAAGAAGGGGGGTGTGCGTCTCTAGAAGCGGGTGGGAAGCAAATCTGGGAGCGGCGGAGCGCTCGGGGGGAGCGGGTGTCACACCAAGCGCTCACGGGCGAATTCATGAAGTCTCCCCAGCCCCGAGTGTCAGAGCTGCCGGCAGCACCGCACCGGCCCCAGCCCCGCTTACATAACCCCCCCTGGGCCGGGGCACCGCCGGGGACGGGGCATCGACACAACCGGGGCATCGACACAGCCGGGGCACCACCAGAAACGGGGCATCGGTGGGGTCGGGACTCCACCGGGACCGGGGCATCCATGGGGCTGGGGCATCACCGAGGCCAGGGCGTCACTGGGGCCGGGGCATCACTGGGGCCGGGGCATCACTGGGGCAGGGGCATCACTGCGGGAGGGCATCGCCACAACCGGGGCATCACCGGAACCGGGGCGTCACCAGAATCAGGGCATCGTTAGAACCGGGGTAACACCGGGACCGGGACCGAAGCATCACCACGGCCGGGGCATCAGCAGGACCGGCCACACCGCGGCCGGAGCATCCACAGAACCTGGGCATCACCGGGGCAGGGACATCGCCGGCACCAAGGCATCACAGCGGCCGAGGCACAGCCAGGACCAGCCGGGACCAGCGCACCGAGCAGCAGCATCCTCAGCGCGCAGCCCCGCGGAACGCCCGGCTCGGTCCGGGCATCGCCAAGCGGGGCCAACTCCAGGGCGAGCGAGGGAGGGAGGGAGGGAAGGAGGGAGGGAGGGAGGGAGAGGGAGAAGCAACAAGACCCGCGGACCCCGCTCAGCCGCCCAGGACCGTGTGACACGAGCCGGGCAGGCGATGCCGCCGGTGATGTGCAAGTCACGGCCGGGGGGAGCGGGGCCGGGAGAGTGGGGATGGGGAGAGCGGGAATGGGGGAGCTGGGATGGGGAGAGCGGGGATGAGGAGAGAGAGGATGGGGAGATAGGGTATAAGGAGAGAGGGGATGGATAGAGAGGATATGGATAGAGAGGATGGGGAGAGCGGGGATGGGGAGAGCGAGGATGGGGAGAGCGGGGATGAGGAGAGCGGGGATGGGGGAGCGAGGATGGAGGTGCGGAGCCGCCCGCGGGGCCGGCGCGCCCCCGGCGGAGCCCCGGGAAGTTTGCGGCGGCTTCTCCCCCGCCCGTGGTTCCGCGGCCACGGGCAGTAGCGCCGCCGGTGACAAGCGCGGCGGCTCCGGGCGCTCCGCGGGCGCGGAGCATCCCCGCGGCGGCGGCGGCGGCGGCACCGGCTGCAGCCCCCCGAACGTGCCCCCCCTCCCCGGTTTTCGCCGTGAAATGTCAGCGTCTCATGGCAACGCCGCTGCCCCCGCGCTGCCTCCGCCGGCTCCCGCGGCGCTCAGCGCTGTCCCCCCCCCCCCAAACCCCTCCGCCGCCTCCCGCCCTTCCGCCCCGGCGACAGTCGCGACAAGGTCACGCGGCGCCCCGCACTCACCGTACACCCCTTGGCCGGAGCTGCCCTCCAGCAGAACCGTCAGCAGCCCCAGCAGCCCGATGGCCACATCCATCTTCACGTGAGCATCCACATATCCAGCCCGGCGGGGCGGGGGGGGGCCGCGCAGCGCCCGCCGGAGCCCCGCGCTCCGCTGCGGCCGAGCCGCGCACGCCCGCGCAGGCAGGGCGGCGGGGGCAGGCGGCGGGCACCGCGCCGGTCCTCCTCCTCCTCCTCCTCCTCCTCCTCCTGCTCCCCCTCCTCCTCCTCCTCCGCCTTCCTCCTCCGCCTCCGCCTCCTCCTCCTCCTCCTCCTCCTCCTCCCGCAGCGCAGAGCGAGCCCCGCTCGGGGCAGCACCGGCCCGTGCCCGCGGCAGCCCCCGCACCCTCAGGGCTGCTGCGGCCGCCGCCGCCGCCGCCTCCCGGGCCCGCCGAGCGCCGCGCGGGGCCGCCGCAGCCTCCGGAGCCCCGCGGCCATCAGAGGCCCCCGCAGCGCCGCGGCCCCCGCATGGTGCGCGGGGCTCGGGGCCGGCGGGGGGCGCGGGGAGGGTCCGCGGGCTGCGGCGCTGCGGGGGCGGCCCCTCTCGCGGTGTCTCAGCGCGGCTGCGGCGCCGCGCCCATGGCGGGGGGCGGCGGGGGCTGCGCGGGGCTCCCCGCGGGATGCGCGCAGGGTGCGGGCGCTGCGAGCGGAGCGCGGCGGGGCCGTCACGTTGTGCTGATACGTGCGGGGCCGGCAGCCGCAGCCCGCCGACGTCAAAGCTGCGTGGCTGTCGCTGCTGCGCGCCTTCCTCCGCCTCCTCCTCCTCCTCCTTCTCCGCCGCCGCCGCCGCCCCCCCGGGTCCCCGCGGCTCCAGCAGCGCCAGCGGGCGCGCAGGGCCGCGGGGCTGCCGCGCTGGGATGTGCGCGGGGTGTCCCGCTCCGCTCCGGGATGCGCGGAGCGCTGTGACCGTCCCAGCCCCGGGATGCGCGGGGCGGTGCATCCCGCCCTATCCCGGGATGCGCGGGGCACGGGGCTCCGGGACCGGTGCGACCCACGCTGCCCTGCGGTGGGTGGGGGGTCCCGCCGTGCCGCGGGATGCGCGGGGCGGTGCGGGGCGGACAGTGAGGGGCGCCCTGAGCCCGCGCTGGCTCCGCGCTCCGCTCCCCGCTGCCGGAGGGTCCGGCCCGCGTAGCTCCCGCACATCCCGCACATCCTGATGCCAGGTTCCTGACCGTGACCTCGGTACCTCCCCCTCGGTGCCCGCCATCCCATCCCGCTCCCTTCCTACCCGGCTCTGGGGGCGCCCCCCGGCTCAGGCCTCCCCCCAGCCGTGCCCTGCACCGCTGGTCACACCCCCCGTGGGTGTCTGGGTGCAGCAGCGCCGCTGTCCTGCCCTCCACTGCCCAAAAACCCCGTGCTGGCTCGAGGCTGAGTGTCCCGGGGCACTGGGATAGGGACAGTCCCAGCCTGGGGTCTCTCACACCCTGCGGTGACTGAGGTGGCACAGACAGGGGCACGAGGGGTACTGCGTGTCCCAGGCAGCTGAGCCACCTCAAACACTGGGGTTTCACTGGGCATTCCCCCCTTCAGTGATGTTTACCCCCCACCACGTATCTGAGACCCCCTCACTGGCTCCCAGCACCTTCCCAAGCTGCCTGTGGCCCTACATTTTGGGGTCAAGGGATTTGTCCTGGTGAAGGTCTCTTGCCTCTGATTCCCCTAAACAAGCCAGGGATTTTTTGGGAAGTGACTGGCCCTGTCCTCTCCCTTTTTTCCTTGTTTTCTGCAAGGATTGCCCCAAACCCATGGACACCTTGGCCACAGTTACACTCAGCTCCCTCCTCTGCCTGCAGCAATTAAGGATTAAAGCTCCAGGCCAGGGAAAAGGGACAAAGGGACGTGCTCTGGAGGGAACACTTGCACTGTCAGGGTTTCTTGTGACCCCACTGGCACGAGGCAGGACACTGTTAACAAGGCTTGGCCACTGGGGACAGGCCCCAAAGGGCTCAGAGCACGCAATCCATCACTTGGAAACGCACTGGTGGATGCAAGGGGGCAAATTCCCTCTTCCCAACCCGGTGAGAACACGGGAGGTGGAAGGAAGGGTGGGCACAGCACTTCTCTGTGCAATCCCCATTCCCCCAGAGCTCAGGCTGGCACTCAGCACAGCCTGGAGCCCATTCCCAACCCTCTGCCAGCTGGAGCTGACGTTGCACTGGGACTGTGCCCAAAATACCGTGTCCCCCTCAAGGGACACAGCGTTTTGTGCTGTTCCAGACACTCCACTGCCTCTGGCTGCATCTCTCCACCTTCCCTGCTTGGCCTCCCCACGAAGGGACTCCCAATTGCATGCCTGGGCCCACCTGATGCTCTCTTTTACCTGTCTTTCAGCTGCAAGGAGAATTTGGGATCATCTGCCTCAGCGGATCTCCAGGGGCTGCGCTCCCAGCGTGACCATCAGTTGATGGCTTTCAACCTCCAGCTGCCTTTTGGTTTCTCTCTGCCTCTCCATCCTGCCAAAATGACCCTCAGAGCAGCAGCTGGGCCACATCTGGGTTGTGATCATCCTCCCCGTGGTTATATCCCAGCTCCTCACAGCACAGACACCCGAGTTGATCCTGAGGGTCGGAATCATTCACTGGCTGCTCTGCCCTGTGGAACTATCCCAGCAGAAAGGATGTTTTTCAGCACACCACTGACAGGATTTCTTGGAGGTTCAGCGTTTGGCACTTAACAAATAAATAAAACTTCCCCCCAAAAAGCCTGGAAATCGGTGCAAAAAACTCCCAGTCTGAAGTTAAGCAGGTGCATAAATTCCTGTGCATGAAATGCCCACGTGGTTCCCACTGAACAGATCATCTGACAGGGCTTTTTTGGAAAGTATCTTGTTCTTAAATGTTTAAATATTCCAGCTCCTGCTGAGATCTGCTTGATGATGTTAAGCTGGGAAGCCAAACCCCAACCATCTCACTCGCCAGGAAGTTTACTGAAGGAAAAAAGAGGAATTAAAATAACTCCCCAACTTGGAGCTGAGTGTGTCCCAAATCCCCCTGAGAGTTAAACAGGGCTGGAGTTTTTCCCCTGATGGAATAATTTAGCTGGGAATTGTTCTGGGGAAATTCAGCTGGTCTGGGGGGGTTCCCAGGGCCAGGACTTTGTCACCACCCAGCACTTGCAGAGGCCACTTCACCCT